ATTTTTCAATTACTTTATGTCAACAACTAAAGGTTAAACTTCTAAATGTAAAATGTCAGCAGTTAATGGTAAAGCCTATGTATGTAAAAAGTATATAAAAAACAAACTCAGAGTTGGAGAAGCTGTGTGAAGATGTGTCATGCAGCTTCAAACCTCTGCCCAAGACATGCCTGAGTCTTTCTCTTAGCATCGTTACAGTTATGCAGAGCATACTTTAGTCTGGCAAGATTTTGTCTCTTGGTGAACATGAAATAAATGAACTAACAGAATATTTGTAACTCAGTGTTGAACTGTGGTGTCCTTAATGCTATGTGAGATTGGTTGCTTTCTTGTAGAGATTTAATAATAATAACAATAATAATAACAACAACAACAACAACCCCCCAGTGAGGCACTACCTTGACTTGGTTGTGGGGCTTGTGCACTCTGAAGAAGATGAGAGCTATGCCAGAGGTTCGACCATACTGGACAGGTCTCATCAGAGGAGTCAGACAAAGGAACGTAAATTACAGAATCCCATACCGGCTCAGATGTCGCCTGGGTTAACAAGGTCCGCGCTAGATATTGGAATTCGTGGATATCTGGTGAAAAATGGGTTACAGGACTCAGGACTGTTGGCTGAGCAACCAGGGCCAGCAGCTGCAGAACTACTGGAAGAAAAGGTGTTTACCCATTGCAGATACACAGTCATGGAAAACAAAGAAATAATGATCTGTTACTACAGATCAAGTCCAACAAGAAGAGGATATCTAAAATGAATGCACCAGTTCTGGAAAGAACATCCAGAATCAGAAATAACAGAACAGAGACTAGCAGATCAATGCCGATTTATAATACGAAATAAAGTATTCACAGAAACAGAATTGGACGAACTGCAAAGGTTTACCCAGGGCAAAGAAATCAAATTACCAGAAGTAATTCAGAATGTAGAGGCAAACCAGGGGGAGTTGGCAGTGAAGGAATCCAGCAGAGATATACAACTGTTCTCATTTGGAAACCAGGCACCTCTTCCTCAGGAAGAACAAAACCCTCTAACTAAAGAAATAAAAGAATTGAAACAAAGAATAACTGAGCATCTAGAACAGCACAAAAACAACAGAATAAGGCTACCTGCATTGAAGCTTGTTCCAAAGAAACAGCTAGCACAAGCATTAAAAGATGCAAATACTGCAATATCAAGTATAAGCACCAATTCACTGCAAGAAACAAACCAACTAATGTACAGCACAGCTGCAGTTATAACAGAATACCTGGGATGCAAAATCAACAAAGAAGAAAAACAAACAAACAGTGCACCAGAAAAATGGAAGGTTAGACTAGAAAATAAGATCAGCAAGTTAAGATCACATGCAAGCAAGCTAGAACAGATGAAAGAAAAGAAGCTGAAGAACAAGAAGACCAAAGAATACCTAATCAAGAAATACCACTTAGAAACAAGGAAGATCAAGGAAGCACTGGAAATAATAAAGCAACAAATAACAGCTATAGCCAGGAAAATCAGTAGATATGAAGCTCGAATTGCAAACTATAGGCAGAACCTCCAATTTCAATCCAATCAGAAACGTTTCTACCAATCCATCAATGGAGAAACTGCAAGGAATCAGTCAGTACCTGACAAGGAAGAAACAGTGCAGTTCTGGAAGCAGATATGGGATAACCCAAAGAAATACAACAAGGATGCGGCTTGGTTAAAAGAGGTGGATGCAAATAAAACAGAAGTTGAAATGAAAGAACTAGTAATAACAACAAAAATGGTAGAAAAAAGAGCAAGGAAAATCAAAAATTGGTCAGCACCAGGTGAAGATGAACTGCATGGGTTTTGGTTGAAACATCTAACTGTTATACACCCACTCATTGCCAAGCAGTTCAACAATATACTACAAGGAGGAGAAATTGAAAAGTGGCTAACAACTGGGAAAACCTATCTAATAATGAAAAATCCAGCAAAAGGGGCAACACCAGGCAACTACAGGCCAATTACCTGCTTACCAACAACTTTCAAATTACTAACTGGTGTGGTAGCTGATGCAGTACAACAGCATCTAGTTGAAAAGAATCTCTTTCCACCTGAGCAGAAAGGAAACCGCCCCAATAGCAGAGGAACAAAAGATCAACTCCTAATAGACAAAATGATCTTGGAAAACTGCAAGAAAAGGAAGACCAACCTGAATGTGGCATGGATTGACTACAAAAAGGCATTTGACTCTCTGCCACATGACTGGATAATCAAGTGCCTAGAAATAACAGGAGTCAGTAGAAACATCAGAAAATTTATGCAAAGATCGATGGCACAATGGAAGACACAGTTGCAGATCAATGGTGAGAGACTGGGAGAGGTTAATATCAAGAGAGGAATATTTCAAGGAGATTCATTATCACCATTACTATTTGTCATTGCACTGTTTCCTCTGTCAACAATACTGAATAACTCAGGACATGGCTATCAAACATCAAAAACATCTGCCAGACTATCCCATCTCCTTTACATGGATGATCTGAAACTGTATGGAAAAACATCATCTGAAATAGAATCGCTGTTTAACACTGTCCGTATATATAGCCAAGATATTGTAATGGAGTTTGGACAAATGTGCCACACTTGCTATCAAACAAGGAAAAATAGTGAAAACTGAAGGAATCAAGATGCCCAATGAAAATAACATTAAGAGTCTGGATGAAGAACAGTACTACAAATACTTGAGTATCTTTTAAGCTGACAACATTAAGCACACTGAAGTCAAGAAAAAGGTTAGAGGTGAATACATCAAGAAGAAGATCTTAAAGTCCAAACTCAATGGAGGAAATACCATAAAGGCAATCAACACCTGGGCAATCCCAGTCATTAGGTACACAGCTGGAATAGTGGACTGGACTCAAGCAGAACTAAAAGCAATGGATAGGAAGACCAGAAAAATAATGACAATGAATCACGCCCTTCATCCACACAGTGACATTGACAGACTTTATCTACCAAGGCAAATAGGTGGGTGTGGAATGCTAAAAGTACATCAGATGGTGGAAGAAGAAAAAATGGCTTTGGAAGAATATCTGAAGAACAATGGTGAAGATGCATTGAAATTAGTATATCAGGAAGGCTTACTGACTACTGGAGAGACCAAACTGGCCTACAAGAAAGACCAAATGAAGAACAGAATAGAGGCATGGGAAAACAAAGCACTACATGACGAATACATGAAAAAAATAGCTGGGAAAGCAGATAATAACAAGACCTGGCAATGTCTAAAAGCAGGAAAATTGAAGAAAGAGACCGAGGGACTAATTCTGGCTGCACAAGACCAAACCTTAAGGACAAATGCATACAAAGTCAAAATTGAGAAGACAGCAACAGACAGTAAGTGCCGCCTATGCAAAGAAGCTGAAGAAACAGTGGACCACCTGATAAGCTGCTGCAAGAAGATTGCACAGGCTGACTACAAGCAGCGGCATGACAAAGTAGCAACAATGGTGCATTGGAAGACCTGCAAAAAATATCATTTGCCTGTAAGCAAAAACTGGTGGGATTATAAAATAGAGAAAGTCATAGAAAATGATAAAATTAAACTGCTCTGGGACTTCAGAATTCAAACAGACAAGCACCTGCAACATAACACCCCAGACTTAACAATTGTCGATAAGAAAGACAAAAAAGTCTGGATAGTGGACGTGGCAGTGCCTGGAGACAGCAGAATAGAAGAGAAAGAACTGGAGAAGATAACAAAATACAAAGACCTCCAAATAGAAATAGAAAGACTGTGGCAAAAGCAAGCAAGGGTAGTACCAATAGTCATAGGCTCCTTGGGTGCAATCCCAAAACAACTGGAGCACCACTTGAACACCATTGGCATTGACAAGTTCGCTATTAGTCAATTGCAAAAGGCGGCCTTGTTAGGAACTGCTTCCATCCTGCGACGATACCTGTAATACCATCAAACATCCACATCTGCCTATCCCAGGTCCTGGGTAAGGACTCGATAGGTAGACAAAATGCCAAATCCAGTCTGAACATCTGGCTGACTGTGCGATGATCCATAATAATAATAATAATAAAGTTGGAAGGGACCTTGGAGGTCATCTAGTCCAACCCCCTGCTCAGGCAGGAAACCCTATACCATTTCAGACAAATGGCTGTCCAGTCTCTTCTTAAAAACTTCCAGTGTTGGAGCATTCACCACTTCTGGAGGTAGGTTGTTCCACTGGTTAATTGTTCTAACTGTCAGGAAGTTTCTCCTTAGTTCTAGGTTGCTTCTCTCCTTGATTAGTTTCCATCTGTTGCTTCTTGTCCTGCCTTCAGGCACTTTGGAGAACATCATCAATGCTATAAGAAAGTGGGGTTTGCTCTGTTTATATACAATTGGCTTGCCCTATCAGTGTTGGTAGGAGTGTTTTTGGTGGTTTCTTGGTTAAGCTATTGCTTCCTATTAGCTTGTTTGTCTAAGTTGGCAATTACTTGATAAAGAAACTAACACATGTTGTTCTTGGTCTCCCATCCTTGGCAGAGTATTCAGATTGCCTGCTTTTACTGTTTTAATCTCTTTGATCTTGAATAAACTGAGTAAATTGTGAATTAATATAGCAACTGTGTGTGAGTCAGTATCTGAAACCATAAGAGGACAAGAACAGTCACTAAGGCAGTGCAGTCATTGATATTTTGCCTAACAACCATTTTACTTACCAATGATAATTCTGATCCAATTAGGTAGTTAAGGACGAACTGTACTAGATGACTTTATAGGTGTCTGTAAGTGATTTCTCTAATGACCTGTCTTTTGCAAAGGTTGGATTAAATAGATAAACGGAGCCATGGTGCTACAGTGGTTAGAATGCACTAATGCAGGTTAATTCACTGCTCAGTCCAGGAGTTTGATTCTGAATGGCTCAAGGTTGACTCAGCCTTCCATCCTTCCGAGGTCAGTAAAACGAGGACCCAGATTGTTGGGGGGGGCAATATGCTGAGTCTGTAAACTGCTTAGAGAGGGCTGTAAAGCACTGTGAAGGGGTATATATGTCTAAGTATTATTGATATAAATATGTGCAGAGCTAGCCATTAGTAAGCTAACAGATATTCAGTTGTTTCCTATTTCATGATTCTAAAATTATGTGAGTTCATCAATTAATAATTATTAAATTCTTTACTCTTGTGAGCTAATACTAACGAAGATACTAGAATAGTATTCTGGTACTACTATTCAAAAACTTCATCTGTATTCTCAAAAATAGCTTTCCTATAACCACACGTGTGTGTATGTATCATGCTACAGGTAGTCCTTGTTTAACAACACGTCACTTAGCAGCCATTCAAAGTTAATACAAAACCTCCAAAAAGGTACTTACAATTTTGAAGTTCTGACGGCCACACATTCACCCTGCAATCATATGATTGCATTTTGGGTACTAGGCAACCAGCTTGCATTTATGGCCATTTGCAGCATCCTGTGGTCATGTTACTGACTTTTGGTGTTTTGTTCCAGTTTCCAGCATTTATTTCCAGTTTCCAGTAAAAAATTCCATTGGGTATAATGGATTCATTTAATGATTGCTGCATTCATTTAATGACCACTGCAACAAAGGTCATAAAATCAGGTGCAGTCACATGGTGATCATTTAAATGACTACCTGAGTTACAACCATAATTCCAGGCTGTCAAGCCCTGTGGGGCTTGCCAATCACTGGTGGGAGGAATTCGGAAAACTCTCCACCACCATTGTGCACAGCTGCGACACTGCACAGCCCCTCACTTTGGCCGGCACCAGAGAAACCCACTCCTCGCCGCCTCGCCAATTAGCTGGGTGTCGGAAGCCGGCAGGACACTGCTGAGTCCGGCCAGTCGGCACCTGGAAACCCCAAGCCTTGCTGCCCCGCCACCCAGCTGACCGTCGGACGACAGCAGGCCATTGCGGAGCCCAGCCGATATGCACAGGCCAGCAAAAGCCGGAACCGGGCGAGGGGCCCTTTCCAACAGCACAGACACCCCGTGCGACAGCTGAATGAAGGGGGGGGGGATGAGCAGAACCAGGGGCTGCGCAGCACAGAACACTCACTGTTACCAGGAGGAATGCCGGCGGCAGACCACGAGGGCCCAGAGGAGCCTGGAAGCAGCGCGTCAGCAGAAGGCTCTATCTTGAATGCACAGGAAGCAGGGCAGAGAGGTGGGGTTCAGCTGGGGGAGGGTCAGGGCCAGACAAATGGACATTTGAAGACAGCTGGGCAGATGGTGGTTAGCGGGCGGAGGGTGGGGTTTTGAGTGTGTCACTGTTATATGAAGCACTGGGAGCAAACCACTCCCAGTGCTGACTTTGTTTGTTAGGGATTAAAATACCTGACTTGCACTTCGTTTCTGCATTCCTGCATTTATTTCATCGGGACGACGACAGACATCGTGACACAGGCTTAATCATGGTCGTAAGTCAAGGACTACCTATAGGTATTTTCATTCCTTAATATCAATAAATCAAAAGGAACAGAAAAGGATTGCTTTGTTTTAAAAGGCATTGCTGATTGTACTAATTATCCTATTTTTCCTTAAACAAAAGAATTCTGGCACCTTTGACAAAGATTAAGATGTGTGAGGCAAAACCATAAATAAATTTATTTTAATAAATAGAGCAATAAAAGAAAAAGGATAATGAATCACTAACCTCTGGTTATATGAGCCCTGCCAATCTGGTGCCTTAAGGCTGATTTTTGAAAGCTGATTATTTACCAGCATTGTTTGTCTTAATGGCATTTTATCTCTGCTGTATAAAATGATTAGAGCATTTGTTTTATCTGCTCTCCATCTTTAAAAATGCAGGCAATCAAAATACAGATGAGACTATTGAGCAAATGAAATCTCTTTTAGCCAATGCCTCCAAAATATGGTTATGTCAACATGTATTCACAGCCAAAGATTTTTCAAAGTTGCCTATCACATTTTGCTTCTTCCGTCAACCAAATTGATCATCAGAAAAAAAGGGACAACACAATCAAGATCCATATTAAGGTCATACCTTTATTACATATGACTTAAGGGTTACTAAATAACTAATTAGCTTTTGTGTTAACAAGCAGGCAATTCTTTTTTTCAACACCAGAAGAGGGAAAAAAGAGAAGTTGAGACACTTCTTCACAAGGTTACAATCACAGAACTTTCCCTAAAGCAGTTTTCCCTGTCCTTGAGTCACAGGAAAGCTTGTCCTGACATGAGAGAAACTTTGTCCCTGTTGCCAATTTTATTTTGCTTCTATTGCTTTTGTTATTGTAGTCACCTGGCTTCTCTGTAAGATAATGGGTGATAAAGACAAGCAGATTTTGTATACTTTGAGACTACTCCTAGAATAAGGTAGAGACAATTATTTTAATGCTAATGTAGTTGAAGATGACTCAAGTCTGTCTTACTAATTTGCTGCAGGACAGATGAACCAAGGTTATGATGACATAGAAGGATAAAGAAAAAAAATGTAGTTTGAACATGTTTATACTGTGGTTAGGTACAAAAGAGAAAAAAGTTCTTTAGATGAAATGCTGCAATAATCTGCTTTGGGTCCTATAAGGTACATGGATGGTTTCAACTGTCCCTCTAGGAAGAATAAGCAAATCATGGTTAGTGTCTCCTCCATCAGTGTCTTGGAAATATCAAATTCAATGTTTCAATCAATATTTCCTTCTTTGGCAATTTTTTTTTAATGCAAGTTTTATTAAGTTTTTCAGTTTTTACAACAAGGTGCTTAGGAAACAGCGTGGTGATGGGGTAGTCAATTACAAAAACCAACACATTTATGTATAATTCAAATTAACTCGTTAAAAATTCCCTCTAGTTCCCACCAATCATGTAACATATTCAGACTAATACAAATGTACTAGAAATCAATCAATAAAATTTATGAAAAGCCATTAATTGTAAAAATCCCAATCCTGTATTTAAGCTTTACAAAATTCCAATTACTATATTTCAATTAGCCATTACCAAACTTATTATTTAAACTTCGGGTATCTGTAATTTCCCTCTATTCATAACATAATAATTATAATATCTAAAAAAAGAAAAAAAAAGAAAAGCATATTATTCCCACAACTACATTCTTATATTTCCTGAACATATTCTATTCTTGTTCTAGTATCTCCTCATTTACTAATACCATATCTTCTATTAACACAATCCATTTTCTTATTCTCTTTCCACTACAAAATAATTATCATACATAAAATAAACACATTAATTCAAAAAATACAGTCTATATCTCAAATATATGTTCTACTAACCAAAACATTTCCTCCCACTTATAATTCTAAATCTTAAACCTTAAGTCAATCCATGTCTAAAGAGCCTTTTTAACCCATTGCATACAATTTTAGGTCACACTCTTAAGTCTTATTCTAGCTTTCTTTTTGTACCAAACAGGTTTCCATAACAGAGCCTCTATATCAACAAATGAATCTCTTTTTATTCCTCGTGGTATCACTTGAGTAAAAAAAAAAAGTCCCATCCTCTGTTTTAGGAACCTGACTCCTTTGTAATTGATCCCCTGTTGCTTTAAAAATTCAGATCTCAACATTTGATTCTGCTGAGTAAGACACTCAATTATGTCCAATTTTGTGGTTAGTAGTTGGTTATCAAAATTGTCATAGTTCTCAATAAATTGTGTTTGCGCATCCATTCCTATTACTTTTGAAATTGTATATGGTTTAGTTAAAGTCACTTTTTGATCATCAGGAGTCTCAATAGGTTGGATATAGAATGGCATAGAATCCTCTTTGGTATTGGTTGATTCCTCTTCTTTGGCAAAATTTAATGAAGATGTAAAATGTAAATTGAGACAGGATTCCAAATTAATCCTGAAGCTGCATGGAGATAGTCAAATTCAATGGATTCCAATCTATTGTCTGGTAATGTAGGATTTTTTTTTTTAAAGACAAACTGCTTTTCTCTCCAGAAAAGATAACGGTAGGGTGGAGTTTCTTCTTATCTGAACTCCAAAATCCATGCACTTTTGCTTGAGACAGAGAGGTATATTCTAATAAAGCTGTTGGAGAATTCTGGGAGTCCCAGAATTCCACCCATCTTAAACTTGAGAAGCCTTGGGGCTGCTAGGAAGTGCCTGTGGAGGTGGTGGCTTGCCTGCCCTTTCTGTGTATCTTCCAATACAAATTTACTAATTATGGTATAGAAAATACTTTCCAATTTCCTACAACTTCATTAAGCCCATCAGAAAAAAATCCAGCAAGTGATCTCCAGCTAGAATATGAGACATCTTTCATTTTTACTGAAGAAAATTTAGAATGGAAGGAATATGATCCATTTGACCAATTTCTATTCAAATAGCATTCCTGCTTTGCCTTCCATAACAGGGAGGCCACCCCATTTGGCATCTCAACATACTTATATTTACCAATCAAATTTTAGAAAGTAAATGACAAGGGAGGAAAATTGACTATCCACTCTTCCATTAGTTCTTGAAGCATTTTCAGGAAATGGATGGTGGATGGGCAGAGAATAGCAGATAATTTCACAGTGTGCACAATCATCCATTAAATCTGCTTGTAAATCTTCTATAACAAAACAGAAGAAATAAAGCTTGCTTTTTCTGCATCCAAATTCGGGGAAAAATGACAGCAACACAGTGAACATTGAAGAGGTAGGAATAAGAAGAAAGGACACTGTAGCTGAGTTCTATGGTGTTCTATAGCCATAATCATATTTGTTTGACATTGGCTTAGTAAATTGTACAATCCATGTCATTTTGGTTTATTCAGCAAGCTATTATTAAGCCAAGAGTTGCTTCAAAATGAGATGGGAGACAAATGAATTTAATAAATAAATATTATTAAACTAAGCTAATGCAAAAGAAAACATGTAAATAAAAGCAAGGTGATTGTATACCTAAGGTATATCGAACAATAATGTAAGTAAACAGAGGTATTTAAGTCCTTCTCATTTAGTTCAAGGGCCTATGGTTATCCAGTGAAATTGAGTGATGATTGGTCCAGGATGATTTAAAAAAACTGTCAGGCATTTAGGAGCTGACAATCTTTTTCCAGAAACCAAGAAGCCATATCTGTGAGTAAATGGTAGACCACTCTTTCTCTCTCTCTTGGGTAAACATAGTGGCATTTGGGAAGGCCTTTCAGGATGAACCATATTCATGGATTACATTTTTATAGGAAAATGAGTTACATCCAAAAGGAAAATGAGGACCGAGGTATACATTGCCAACTCATGACTTAAAACACAAGCTACACTGTGAAATTTCCTAATCCAGATGTGGTGATGGCTGTCAGTATTTAAAGGTATTGAAAAGCAAGTATGATAATTCATAGAGACTAAGGCAGTGGTGGCAAACCTATGGCAAGGGTGCCAGAGGCGGCACTCAGAGCCCTCTCTGTGGGCACGTGCACTGTCGCCTCAGTCCTAGGCCTTCAGCTGGGTTTTATAAAACCTTTTCGCTTTAGGCCTCCGCCGTCGTGTGCAAAAAAAAAAAAAAAAAAGGTTCAATCAGTCAATTTGAACTTCTCGCAGGAAAAAAAAAGATCTTGCAAAGTTGGAATTGATTGACTGAACTTTTTAGTCCCACCCAATCTGCCATTACCACTGCAGCCATGCCCACCCAATGGGCCACACCCATCTAATTGGCCACATCCAGTCAATGGGCCATACCCACCTGGCACCCAACGATGCATAAGTGGGTTTTGGGTTGCAGTTTGGTCACTCGATCTCTAAAAGATTTGCCATCACTGGACTAAGGCTATTCATCATAACTGCTGCATGTTTCATGCAATTTTCCAGATAAGAATGTTATGGGTTGCCAAATCTACAGAATTTAAGAGGACAGTGTGTTTGAAAGAATGTCAACAATGACCAAATACTCTTTTCCTGTCCAAGTAATTTTCTCATAATATAGGACAAAATTATACTAAACACCCACCATGCATTTGTATATTGCTCTCATTTCACTCCTACCATTCATTTCTTTTCCTTATTTAGGTAGTGTATTTTGTAAAGAGATTTAATAGGTATTTTGCTTCATATGAACCTTCAACCTATTCTATTAAGCTCTACATATTGGTCTTTTTCATGCATTCATAATTCTAATTGTACAGAGGAAATACAGAGGTATGTTGTAGGCTCACACCTTCCTTATCACAGGAATGTAAATTAATTACCGGAGGATGTAACCATGTTTCTCAAAGCAAAAATATGGGGCACAGCTGAAGCATAACTCAAAGCCATCACTCCATTCAGCAATTTCAATTATCATTACATGAATATATTAAAATGCCTAATTCCTTCAAGTTAAGAAAACTGTATGAAAGTAGCATACATACATACATAAAATGTAAGTAGTATTTGGTAATATTTGAGATATACTATTATAGGTTCAGCAACCAGGAGCCAATTTTTTTAAAAAAAATGGTAGAAATGTCACAATGTTCTAGCAATTTTACTCT